TTGGGAATGAGGAATTGGCACGCTTGCGTGATCTCGTCTGTCGCTACCGGAGGGTATTCGCGATGAACTCTGCTGAATTGGGTCGCACGACTGTGCAACACCACAACATTAACACCAAGGGAAGAAGTCCTATCTTCCAGGCTCCTAGGCGATTGCCTTGGAATTCAAGGGAAGCCACCCGCGAACTAGTGAAGGGCATGAAGGAACAAGGGGTAGTAGAGGATTCTACTAGTCCTTGGTCTTCGCCAATAGTGCTGGTTAAGAAGAAGGATGGCTCAACTCGATTTTGCGTTGATTATCGCAAATTGAATGCCGTTACGGAGCGGGATCCATATCCTCTCCCACGGATTGATGATACGTTGGACGCGCTGAGTGGCGCGAAGTACTTTTCCACCTTGGATTTGTGTTCCGGCTATCATCAGCTGCCTATGGCAGAAGAAGACAAGGAGAAAACGGGTTTCTCCACTCCAGATGGGCACTACCAGTTTACAGTCATGCCGTTCGGTGTGTGTAACGGTCCAAGCTCGTTCCAGAGACTTATGAGTGTTGTCTTGCGTGGGTTACAGGGCAGATTTGCCTCGTGTACCTCGATGATGTGATTGTGTTTGCAAAGACTTTTGATGAACACTTAGAGCGGCTCGAGGCGGTGTTTGAACGGCTATTGGACGCAGGGTTGCGTCTAAAACCATCCAAATGCTTCTTGCTGCGTACGAGGGTGGATTTTCTGGGCCATGTGGTCTCGGAAGAGGGTGTGAGCACTGATGAGGCAAAGACTCACCGCGTGGCTACGTGGGAGCACCCTACGAATGTAGCGGAAATTCGGGCATTTTTGGGGTTCTGTGGCTACTATCGAAGGTTCGTACCGAACTTCTCGGATGTTGCTAAACCCCTCACTCAGTTGACTAAACAAGGCCATGCGTTCTTATGGACCGAGGAGTGTGAAGAGGCATTTGCTACGTTGAAGAGTCGGTTGACTTCTTCACCAACCCTGGCATATCCACAATATGGACCTGATGCTCCGAGGTTCATTCTGGATGTTGACGCCAGTGGTACGGGATTGGGTGCTGTTTTGTCACAGCAAGATGAGAAGGGGGTCGAACGACCCATTGCCTTTGCTAGTCGATTGACATCTGCATCGGAACGCAGGTACGCTTCTACCAAAAGCGAATTGCTGGGTGTAGTTTGGGCGTTTAATCACTTCAGGTGTTACCTGCTCGGCAAGCGCTTCTTGGTCCGCTCGGATCACAAAGCATTGCAGCATTTGGACAACTTCAAAGAACCAGCGCCGATTGTCGCCAGGTGGTTGGAGTTCCTAAGTCAATTCGAGTATGATCTGCAATATCGAAAGGGCAAGGCTCATTCGAACGCAGATGGCTTGTCCAGACAGAAGACCAAGCCTGTGATGAATGTTACAGAAGTGGCTCCTACCGTTCCTGGACCCTTGGTTCAGCGAAGGGACTGGACATATGGGACCTGGGCGATTGCCCAGCAAGCTGATCCTGACCTCAGGCAGCTTTTTGAGTGGCTAATGGATGACGGCGAGTCGGCTGACTTGACCGGAATCAGTCCGACTTTGAGGAAGTACTGGCGGGGACGCCAGCATCTTTCTGTGAAGGGCGGAGTGATTGGAAGGGAATGGGTTGAGCCTGAGATTTCAGCGCCCAACCGTTTTCAGATTTTGATCCCAGTTGATCTGCGGACTGAAATCTTGAAGGAGTATCACGATTTCCTTGGTCATGTGGGTGTGAAGCGGACGATTGCCCAGCTTCGCACTCGGTTCTATTGGCATGGAATGAGTCGTGACGTTGAAGATTGGATCGGCACGTGCACGTCATGTTGTCGACGCTCCCGACCGGTTGGTCGAGGACAAGGGGCACCCTTACAGGTGTCCTGGGCGGGGTATCCCTTCGAACGCGTGGCTATGGATTTGATTCCAGGACTGCCTGAGACTTCAGGTGGAAATCGTCACATTTTGGTCGTTGTGGACTACTTCACGAAGTGGGTAGAGGCGTATCCGTTGAAACGGATGGATGCAGCGACTGTTGCATCGGTATTTGTGAGCGAATTCGTGTCCAGATTTGGAGCACCGGATAGCTTGCATACGGATCAAGGTGCAAACTTTGATTCGAAACTGTTCAAGAACGTTTGCGGCTTGCTTGGTATCAAGAAAACGCGGACAACAGCTTACCATCCGTCGGGTGACGGATTGGTAGAGAGGTTTAACCAGACGTTAGAGCGATTGCTCTCACACTATGTTCAGAGAGACCAGCGTGATTGGGATGTCCAATTACCCGCAGCATTAATGGCGTATCGGGCTACCACCCAAGCCAGCACAGGGTACACGCCGGCGTATCTCCTCTTCGGCAGAGAGTTCTGTCTCCCGCAAGATGTTGCGTATGGTTTACCGCCAGCTGAACAGTTGGATGAACCTACGTATGTGCGTCAATTGCGGTCCCGTTTGGCGGATGTGCACACGATTGTGAGGCACAAGCTCGGTGCAGTGCATCGACATCAGGCGCATCTCTATGATCATAGGGCTGTGTCGGTGGAATTCGCGGAAGGAAGTCTGGTATGGCTCTTGGTACCCGCTGTTCCGGTTGGAACCAGCACCAAGTTGGCGAAATTATGGAAGGGACCGTTCAAGGTTTTGAACCGGTTGTCTGATGTTGTGTATCGCGTCCGTGATATGGGATCAGACTCGGCTACATGTCAAGGTGTGCACGTGAATCGCTTGAAGAAGTGTCGTGTACGCCCAACATATCTCGCTACGGTTGTACGCGAGGAAGCGTCAAATTCATCTCCGACAAGGAACCCGATCAGATCTGCGTCACCACAACCGAGCTCCTACACGCCTGATACCACAGACTTGTTGTATGCGGAAAGAGCAGGTGGCCGTGACGAGCAGTTTGGAGGAGTAGAGCTACTTCCCATTGACGCTGCAGTAGCACCGGCTGATGTCAACCATCCAGGTCAAGGAGTACCGTTGCCTCCCGCTAACACTGCAGCACCGGCTGGTGTCAACCGTCCAGTTCGAAGAAGGAGACCACCCCAACGACTGGAGTACGACTAATGATTGCGGGACGCAATCTCCCAGAAGGCCGGGGAGATGTCATATCGGCCTCGGCAGCTGACGGGTTCTCCCGGGCTGTACGACAAACTTCCCCGGGTTGTACGACGAACTAACTACTCTGCCGGTACTAGTTTACATGTTGGGTGAACGTGTTCCCCTCATGAGCGCGCGTTTGTACGGCAGTTGTCTTTTGTATCTACTTGTCACTTTTATCAATGCATGGGCCGCGGGATGTTGTATCTGCTAACTGTCTTATCGTATACGCTGGCTGTTTAGTTAATTCATAAATAATACGCATTTCTCCTTGTCTTCTCCCATTGGTCAATTCTGCATAGCAACAAGCTCTCTATGGTCTGATTGGTTGGGTTTTCCCGCCTTTGCTACTCCTTTGTGTAACTCGATCCTTTTTGTTATCATATAACCCCTGCTGCTTCTGATCAAAAGCACAAACCTTCCTTCGACCTTCACTCTTGAATCGAGCTGGAATCATAGTGACTCTCAACCTTATTCGAATGACCAAGGTGAGCGTGTGTGGCTGAATGGATACTTGGATCAACTATATTGGTTGATGCCCTGGTGGGGTTACTACGGCAATGCGAATGTATATGTTGTAGCCTTGAGATCGGTATTGTGTATGTCCGGCACGACATTAGTACTACTACTAGTATGTCACTTGTCGGTGTGATCAGAATCTGTCTGTTTGCAGCGTTGACCGGAATCATTCTGACCTACTGTACTTGGGTTTTTTTATAATTACTTCTGGTGTGCCGGTAACTTCCTCATGACTGCACTACCGTCACGGAGTCACACTAAACAGTGAGTCACATGTGCACAGCAGTTATAATAATTATTTAAAACTATTTGCAAAATCCAGACTGCCATATCCCTTTCTTCTCCTTTTTGCAAAAGTAAATTTTCCAACAGCAGCAAACTCCCACCATGTAGATCTACTAGTCACCAATCACATTATTCAAGGTCCCCACCTACAAAATAAGAATATGAATACAGAATATGTAGACATCGCCACACAAAGTGATAACGACAGTCACATGCCAAGGTTTACTTCATAGTGTTTGGTCCAAACTCGATTTCGCGTTTTCGCTTATGTGAGATCTCACCTTACATAGTAGGTTATTTAACGTTGCCTCAATTTAGTTGGACTCATGGTCCGTCTCCACTGATGAATGGAGCGCGAACATCGATTTTGAAATCATTTTTCGCCACATCCCGCGGCCCGGGCAATATACAATTACACCAAGTACTGTATAGAATATTTAAATTTACACGAGTCGTGATAGAGAGAGAGCCTTTCCACATTGTCAGGAACTCCATACATGTACAGTGCGTATCGGTTATAGTGTTGTCGTGTAAAAGAATAATTATACTGCTTACAAGAATGACCTCTCATATTTTCATAATCAAAACATGGGTTTCAAGTGAACATTTATTCTTACAAGCAATGTTATCGCATACATGTAGTAGAATTTAATATATCGGTCCGAAGAATGGACTTTGTGTAGCAAAACATGCAAGATTAGTTCAAAGTGTATCGCCTGTAGTAATAACATCTGCCCAATACAGTTCTGATCCGATTCGCATTGCATCGTAGTGCTGCAGGTTCAACTGTTGTTGTCATGTGTCTCATGCAGCATAGCCACATGGTAAGCTTATGAGACTATGAACACCCACATGCACAGCAGCGATACGCTGTATGCCTGGTGGTCATCCTGTATCTGCGCACATGCATCTGATATGTCACACTTGATTTATCGTGTGTAAGAAATATCGGAAATAAGAATAGAAAGTCGGTTTTCAAACACCCACGCTATAACCGATACCTACTGTACCACCAACACCCTCAAGGATCAAGGCACAGGCGCAGCATTCATTTTAAATAGTCCATCACACAAAAAAACCGGCTGACATCGCGTGAATGTCACTCTGCCACTGCATTCATAACTTCATATCTGCCAGTGACACTCGTCATCCGTTTCGAGTAATGAGAGCTCGGGAAACTTGGAAGTATTTGGAAGTAAATTTTAATTAAAACCATAAAATTATTAGAAGAATAACAATTATTTAAAACAATTGTCTGCATGGGAAGAAAGTCATAGCAAGAAAAAACAATGAAAACTCTGAAAGGCCAAGAAAGCTGCTCAGCAGCGTTTTTTATCATCTAGGTTTTTTCTGAACAGGACAGGAACTAGGGGTGGCAAGGACTGATTCAATGTTTAGCCTTCTTAGGAGATGATACGCTGCCTGCTCTGTGCCATTTAAAAAAAAAGGAACTTGACCAAAACTATCCATGAAGAGGTGTGCTAAGGCAAGGGGTAGCAGATCTCAAGATACTTCTGTTGGCAAATACCATTATATTTACGCCATTTTCTTTTCTTTACAATGCATGTATGGTTGAATCCGACACTGTACTTACGAATATGAGCATACACCTAGTACAACTCGTATACAAATATCATTATATCACTCAACAACTCAAGACTAGTTCTGAGACAACATGAAAGGGCACAAGTAGGAAATAGAAATAGCATGGCTCAAGCATCAGAAAGTCAAGGTCCGGACAACGAGCACGGTTTTTTTTCAATCATACGGCAGTTATCTGGTCAGGCTCTTCTGGCACCGGCTGGTCAGCGAAGCGCTGCTGTAGCGTGCGATAGTGTGATGGCTTCTCGGCCAGGTCAGCACTACCGCTGCCCAGTACATTGGAGAGTAGACCACTGGAGATTAGTAAGAGGTGGTCTTGATCCGTTAGGTCCAGGCAGCGTAAGATGCCCTGGAACGCTGGCCGTTGATGCGGGTCCGGGTGCCTGGTGGAGCGGCGCACAAATCACACCAGTAACATGGCGTCATGTTTATACAATATCAGCACAAGGACCTGGGCTCGGTTTTAGCTATAAACAAGCGTAGTTGTGATTGAGGATACGGTACGCCAAGCGGTGGGATGAATGGACAGTGACGTGCACAGTACTTGCACTGGGTATACACGGTATACACTGGAATTACAACAGTACATACTCACGCTATCAAATGCACACGTGTACTTGCTGTGCGTTTTGCACAAAGACATCACCATCGAGACAACACAGTGGCATGGCCTGCTTGGGGTCCAATCATCCAAAACTCTTATAACATAACGGGAGGACACCTGTTGTGTATCGTGTCGGAGAAAGGTCTTCTGGGGTGTCGTCGAGATCTCGTTGCGACCGTGACTCCTGCTTGTCTCCCTGGCTAGGTGCTGCTTGCTTTGCTTTTCTGCGTAGTGTTTTTGATTATTGTTTACTATTGCGTATTGTTAGTGTTCGTTGTGATTTGGTACAGTACTTGTTACGAGATACGACACATTGTGTAGTGTGTGTTTGCAGCACGAAGAAGACTGCTCACCAGAACGGTTAGCTCAGGAGCTTGGGCTTACCTTGTGCAATCACAGTTCATCAGCTTGGACATTGCGCTTGGTCCCATGCGAATAACCGACTAGAATAGTAATTATTTCTTCGTTGCATTTTTGAATTGTGTTCTTGCTAGCTCGTTGATTTATTTAGTTGATGTGTTGATTTGTGTTTGATTACTTATTTATTTGATGCGCGATTTATGTGCGCTGATTGCGTGATGGCATGCAATTATGATCATGCTTGCGCCAGCTAGCTAGATGCCTGCGCCGCGCACTGATGTTGAATGAGTTAGCATGCGCCCCGCGCTGTTCATGCATATATGGTACATGGTGTGTAATGTTTGCCGCACATGCGTATACGTGCCTCGCCTCGTACTGCTTATGTGCCGCGCGCCGTACTATTGCTGTCGCTTTGCCAAATTTAGCTTCCGCTTTCCGAGCGCTGTACGCTCTTCTGTACGCTCATGCCAAAGTTGGACGCACGTTGTGGCTGGCCAGCGCTTTACCCCTCATGCGTTGTTCTTTTCCTTGATGCTGTGGTTTGTTTTCTTTAGTGTTCTAGAGTTCTCTTTCCGATGTAGTTCGTATTTTTTCAGTCTCTTCTTCTCAATGTATTCTACTGTTCATTCATTATAGTCCGTAAAGAATTACGTGACCTTTTGTCTTGTGGCGTCTGTGCGATCCTGGAACTTTTGAGGTGTTAGTAGTGAACACAACATTTTGGCGACCACGCCAGGATAGAGACGCGTGAACATGGATGAGGTAGAAGCGAAGCTGATCGCAAATGGTCAAGCTTATGGCTACACTGGAGAGGCATTGCGTACTTACGTAGAGGAGCGTATCGAGAAGCACGAGGAGAAAGTGCGTGCAGAAAGAGAGCGCGACGAACGAGCAGGAAGTAGATTGGAAAGGAAAGATGACGAGCAGCTGCTTGCGAGGATTGCAGATTTGGAGTTGCAAGTCCAGCACGCACGAGAGACTCAGAGTGATGAGAGCACTTTGTTGAATACGACGAATGGCAGTTTAGCGAGCAAGAGGGCTGCCATCAAGATGCCGAAGTTCGACGGTAAGCAGACTGTTGAGACCTATCTCGAACTGTTCGAGGATGTGGCAAAGCAAAATGAGTTCAGCGACGACGAGTACCTGATCCGCTTGCGCGTGGCTGTTGCTGGCAGCAAGTTGGAAGGTGCATGCTATGGCTGCAACACCTTTGCCGAAGCGAAGCGCGAGCTGCTGATGGCGCATGGGAAGACCGCCGACAAAGCGTGGCAAGCCCTGATGGCCATACAGCAGAAAAGTGATGAGAGTTTCTACCAGTTTGTGGTACAAGTGACGCGCGAGACGGAGAAGTGGGCAAAACTCGCCAGGCCTAGCCGTACCTCTAGCCGCGGACAAATCGGTGAGCTGGACGACACTGAATTGTTTGGATGTGTCGTACGTCAAGTCCTGCTAGAAGCTGTGTCGGCAGAAACTAAGGCCTTCTTGATCGAGAAGAGATGTTACACGAAGGACTTGAAGGCGTTTGCGGAGGATGGTATGGCTTACCAAACAGCCCACGGACGTAGCAAGCTGAAGCCTGCCAAGTCTAGCACCAGCGACCAACGTATACCGTTTGCGTCGGCAGAGTGTTTGACGGTCAGCGTTGATGAGGCTAACAAGAAATTGTCAGCTATGGCGTCTGAGCACCGAAACGCGTACGTCAAGGCAGAGGGACTGTGTTTCAACTGCCTGAGACCAGGACATCGAGTGATGAATTGTCAGAACAAGGGTCGTTGCAAGCACTGCAACAAGCGACACCACAGTCTACTGCACAGAGAGGACAAACAGGTAACATCCGAACCGATAGCCGAATCGAAAGTCGGTACGTATGAATGTAGTGCAAACAGCGTGCACTTGATGACCGGCGTGGCTGAGGTACAAGGACCTAGCCGAAAGGCCAGTGTACGCATATTCATCGACCCAGGTGCGCAGGCATCGTTCATCACCGCGCCACTGGTGAACTCGCTGCAACCGGCACACCTTGGATCGCAAACTGTCAGGCTGAAGGCGTTTGACGTGGAGCCGAAGTTTGAAAAGATGGACAGGTACCGTGTCACCATCAAGGGTGCAACGAAGTCCATTTCCGTCAATGCCTGGCAAAAGAAGTCGCTAGGTCTCCGATTCGATCCGCTAGCAGACAGCACAATTGCACGTTGGCAGTCACAGGGATTGCAGCTGTCTGATGACTCGACAAAGGCCGGATCAAGCGAAGTGCACATGCTGATTGGAGCTGACTACTGCAATGAGTTCCTTCTCCGCAAGGAGCAAATCAATGGAGAGACGGCCTGGCACACTGAAATAGGCTGGGTGCTGTCAGGACCGGCTAATAGTGAAACCAAGTCAGCGACCGTCAGTGTGAGTTGTATTGAACTTGACCGACTGTGGAAGATGGAAGAGGTGCCGGAAATAGCTGAGACGTTACCGGACTTCCCGATAGAGCGGCAAGGCCCTCATTACCAAGTGGGATTGCTATGGCGATCTGAGAAGCGTCCGCCAGCCAACCTAAACCAAGCGATGGCAGCGGCACACTCACTGCTGAAGCAGCTACAGAGACGAGGTCAACGTCTAGCGTATGATGACGTCCTCATCACTGAGTACTTGAAGCTGGATGCCATTGAAAAGGAACCGCATCCGGAGGAAGCCGGCTATTACATGCCGCATCATGCCGTATTCCGTAGCGACGCCTCAACGACGAAGACACGGGTCGTCTTCAATGCATCCGCCGCCTGCACCGGAGCACCATCCCTAAACGACATGGTCGATCCCGGGCCATCACTCCTACCGGATCTCACTGGTATCCTCCTCAGGTTCCGTGAGTATGAATGTGCTGTACAAGCCGATATTCGCAAGGCTTTTTTTATGATCGGAATGCGTGAAGAAGATAGGCCATATCTGCGTTTTGTTTGGCCTGAGATAGGTAGCGAAGAAATGTGTATCTGGCGTTTAAAGAAGCTGCCTTTTGGAGTGAATTGTTCTCCTTTCATACTTAGTGCTGTGCTGCGCTTTCATCTCGATAGTGCATTCGAGTCTGCTTCTGCTGCTGAGCGTGATATCATAGAGCTGCTGCTGCGTAGTTTTTATGTTGATGATTGCGTTTCTAGCTTGCCATGCTGTGCGGATGCTGAAAAGCTGCAGGAGTATAGCGTTAATGTTTTGCAGGGAGCAGGCATGGAGTTGCGGAAGTGGCGAGGGAACACGATGACCTCAGACCCCGAGGCTGGTTCCAAGGCACTGGGTATTGTGTGGAACACCGAGTCAGATTGTATTTCGGTGGCTGCGCTCGGTGATGTTGAGTGTCCCAAGGAAGTGTCTGGTTGGTCTCGTCGTGCGTTGTTGCGTTGTGTTGCCGCTGTGTTCGATCCGCTAGGTTGGGCGTCACCCGCAGTTGTGCCAGGCAAGATGATGTTGCAAGAGAGTTGGAAGCTCGGCGGTGGTTGGGATGACCCATTCCCTATTGATTTGGCTGTCCGATGTGCTTCATGGTGGGGAGAGCTCGCAGCGCTTTCTTCCGTTAAAATCCCCAGATGGATCGGGTGTACTCCAGATGCTCCAGTCACGTTGCATGTATTCTCAGATGCATCCGAGAAGGGCTATGGCTGTTGTTTCTATGTTGTGTCCGGTTTGACGTCTTCTTTGTTGTGTGCGAAGGCGAAGGTTGCACCTGTTGTACGTCCCACTCTTGCGCGTCTGGAATTGTCGGCTGTGTGTCTTGGCGTGAAGATGTTGTCCTTTGTCGTCAATGAATTGAGAGTGCCAATTGAAAGGATTGTGGGGTGGACAGACAGCCTAACCACATGGCACTGGATCTCAAAGCCGTCGTATCACTGGAAGACGTATGTTGCTAATCGAGTTGCTGCAGTGCAAGAAGTTTCGCAGAAGCTGCAAGTAGAATGGCGTCACTGTCCAGGAGTTAGCAACCCTGCAGATCTTGTCTCGCGTGGTGTCCCAGTGTGTGACTTGCAGAAGGAGATGTGGCTGCATGGTCCGTCATGGTTGAGCGATGAGTCTCAGTGGCCACCAGTCATCTCGTTTCAGAGCACCAATGAGTCCGTCACCGAAGCACGCGTGTCGGCTGTGGAGGTTGACACTCCAGTTGTTTGGCCGTGGGAGAAGTTCTCCAAGTGGCAACGAGCTCGCGGTTTGGTCGCAAGTATGCTGTCATGGCGACACAAGGGTGTTTCGCGTGCAGAATTGATTCCATCTGCTGAGTCTGTGATGTTTCGCGCCATCCAAGAGCAATGCTTCCCCAAGGAGTTGTCCCAGTTGCAGAGCAAGGAGCCACTGAAGAAGGGTTCGAAGCTGTTCAAGTTGTCTCCGTTTCTGGATGAAGCTGGTTTGCTCAGAGTTCGTGGTCGTCTGCAGGAGAGCGATCTGTCCTACGAGGTTCAGCATCCGATCATCCTGGGCAGATGTCATCTAAGTGAGTTGTTTCTGCGTGATGCTCACCTTCAGCGAATGCACCAGGGTGTAGAGAGCGTGCTTGCGTTTCTACAACAGCAGTTCTGGATTCTCGGAGCTCGTCGGTTTCTTCGTAGCGTGTCGGAGAAGTGCATTGTTTGCCGCAGATTTCGCGCACAGACTGCTGCTGAGGAGATGCCGCCGTTGCCCTCAGACAGGGTGAAGCACCACCAGCCATTCGGTCTCACAGGTATTGATTATGCAGGTCCTTTGTACGTGCGCAGTTCATCAAATGTTCAGAAAGTGTGGGTCGCACTCTTCGTGTGCGGTACTACTCGCGCAGTGCACCTAGAGCTCGTGGATAGCCTGTCGACAGAGGTGTTCCTGCTAGCATTGCGTCGTTTCATCGCCCGTCGTGGGAAGCCGCTGCGTATACGTTCAGATAATGCTACGACGTTCAAGTCCGCCGCAGACAAGGTGGCAATCCCGTGGTTCTTCAATCCGCCATCTGCCCCGTGGCATGGAGGGTTCTATGAGCGTCTGGTGGCATGTGTGAAAGCTCCCTTGAAGAAGGTTCTCGGTCGAGCGTCATTGAGTCGAGACGAGCTGTTCACTGTCTTGACAGAGATCGAGAGAGTCGTCAACTCTCGACCCCTCACTCCGGTTTCTACGGATGTAGCTGACGAGTCGCCGCTGACTCCAGCCATGATGTTGGGAGACATCTTTGCAACCGGTATTGCCTCGTCTGACAGACCACTCGATCCACGGCAGTTGTCCGCTCGAGTCAAGTATGTCCACACCGTCTACGAGCACCTCAACCAGCGTTGGTCGTCTGAGTATCTCATTCGTCTCAGTGAGTATCATCGGTCGAAGTCAACTCCGATTGTCGTGAACGACGTTGTGTTTATTGCCGACGACAACCGGAAGCGGCAATCATGGCGCTTGGGTAGGGTCGCAGAGCTGTATCCTGGAAGAGATGGCAAGTGCAGGGTGGCCAAAGTCCAAGTTGGCCAATCGTCCATGCTACGGCCCATTCAACGCTTGGTTCCGTTGGAAGTAGCGAAGGAGCATGTTGAGCCGCCGGCTGTGGACGCTGAGCCGCAGCCGCAGACACCCGCGAGCGCTGATCCAGTCAACGTCGTCGATGATGTTGAAATACCTTCGACGACCGTTGAACCGCAAGTTACGCGTCGATCTCGTCGTACCGTTCGACCACCACCTCGTCTTGATTTGTGATCAGTGTGGTTGAAGCCCTTTGGTGGGGAGAATGTTGTGTATCGTGTCGGAGAAAGGTCTTCTGGGGTGTCGTCGAGATCTCGTTGCGACCGTGACTCCTGCTTGTCTCCCTGGCTAGGTGCTGCTTGCTTTGCTTTTCTGCGTAGTGTTTTTGATTATTGTTTACTATTGCGTATTGTTAGTGTTCGTTGTGATTTGGTACAGTACTTGTTACGAGATACGACACATTGTGTAGTGTGTGTTTGCAGCACGAAGAAGACTGCTCACCAGAACGGTTAGCTCAGGAGCTTGGGCTTACCTTGTGCAATCACAGTTCATCAGCTTGGACATTGCGCTTGGTCCCATGCGAATAACCGACTAGAATAGTAATTATTTCTTCGTTGCATTTTTGAATTGTGTTCTTGCTAGCTCGTTGATTTATTTAGTTGATGTGTTGATTTGTGTTTGATTACTTATTTATTTGATGCGCGATTTATGTGCGCTGATTGCGTGATGGCATGCAATTATGATCATGCTTGCGCCAGCTAGCTAGATGCCTGCGCCGCGCACTGATGTTGAATGAGTTAGCATGCGCCCCGCGCTGTTCATGCATATATGGTACATGGTGTGTAATGTTTGCCGCACATGCGTATACGTGCCTCGCCTCGTACTGCTTATGTGCCGCGCGCCGTACTATTGCTGTCGCTTTGCCAAATTTAGCTTCCGCTTTCCGAGCGCTGTACGCTCTTCTGTACGCTCATGCCAAAGTTGGACGCACGTTGTGGCTGGCCAGCGCTTTACCCCTCATGCGTTGTTCTTTTCCTTGATGCTGTGGTTTGTTTTCTTTAGTGTTCTAGAGTTCTCTTTCCGATGTAGTTCGTATTTTTTCAGTCTCTTCTTCTCAATGTATTCTACTGTTCATTCATTATAGTCCGTAAAGAATTACGTGACCTTTTGTCTTGTGGCGTCTGTGCGATCCTGGAACTTTTGAGGTGTTAGTAGTGAACACAACAACACCAGTAGAAAGCCTGCACACAGGTAATAATGCTACTGTCATCAGACCTACTCAAGTACTCACCAGCACTGGATCATCATCTCATACATGTTCAGCGGACAGCCAGCTGGTGGTGACAGCCTGTAACCGTTCTTCACTTTCTCGAAAGTCTGCAAACAGAATACACCATAGTAAAATGAAGAAAATGAGTCAGCGAGTCTGGAGCAGTGACTAAAAACACCCGGTTAATTCTTTAGCTGCATTGCTGGCCAGATGATAATCAACGTGGTTAGCTCAAAAGATGTTTTAACTAAACCATGAATGTAGCTGATCTGTATCCCATATACTTTTGGACACGTGTAACCTTCCTTACAATTATAGACAGGACCAACCAGCGTGGCTCTCCCGTACAAGGCCAAGAATATCATCATGCAGCGTGCCTTGCCGCTTCGTGTACTTGCAGGCACGCTCAGACACTTCTACAGTGCCGCTCAATGAAATCTAGTCACGTCACTCAAGTTTGTGCTTTGCATCATTTCGCAGCCCAGTGTTGGCAGGTCTGGGGCTGCGCAACGCCCGGCGCGTACTTGAGTGACTTGACTGGATTTCATTCAGCACGACTGGTTGATACGCTGTGAGCCAGTCCATGGCCCTTACCTCCTTGTTATCCCACCAGGCGTACGGCTCGGCAGCCAGCGACCAGATCTCGTACAGGAGGATGCCGTAGCTCCAGACGTCGCTGGCACTCGAGTACTTGCGGAAGAAGATCGCCTGGTCACGCAGCACACAAGTACACAACACCGGAATGCGATTCACAACTAGCCTGCACACACATCTCATCTCAACGATATCAGTTCATGTACATCCTCTGCCAAGAAGTGATTCCCCTAGCTTGTAGTGGTTGGAAATCGGCTTTTGATGACTTCAAGAACCCAAGAAGGAAAATATACCAACTTCTGCTGGGATCTACTTGAAGTGATAATTTCAACTACTGTACCTGAAGCTACTGAAGTGATATTCCACCGAATTTACACTTCATCAAGACTGAAAAAGCCATGCAAGTGTCCACCAACCAGATTGACCGATATTTTCAAACAAGATCCGAAGAGCACTGGTACTTGAGGCCTTTGTCTTTGCGAAGTACAGTTATGATCGGAAACTTTCCGCCCACAGGAGCTCAACAGGAGCTCAAATCTGAGTAACGTTATGGGAACTGATATTATTGCTATGGATGAATCAGCTACATTGTGTTACGACATCAGTTGGCGGGTACTCCTAGGAGCGCCGTACGTGTTGTATTAGACTATTTTGATCAGCACCAGCGGCAACGTCTTTGAGCTGACAGCAGATTACTGATTGACATTGCGCTCAGAAAAGAGCAATGGAAACCTACCTCTGGTGCTGTCCATTTGATTGGTACCCTGCCTCCTTGAGACACGTAGTAGGAGTTATTACCACCATCAAGATCACGTGCAAGTCCAAAATCACCAACCTACGCAATAAAGAAGCCAATGTGCAAGTGGGAGATAATCGTGAGAAGCGCGAGACAAAGTGCAGTGGTTTGGCAACGTCTACTTTTCGTCAGCCAATACGGTATCTCATATGGAATACAGTTTCACAACGCAACGTCTGAATGGTTAGAAAGAAGTGCCCCCTTGCACACATGCACACACACACACACACACACACACTCTGCTATAGTCGCAACACCCAGTGCATCAACCGTGGGAGCAGCAACGTGACATGTCGTGGTGAACGTGTCGCCAACATTCTCCTTGCCTGTTCAGCGAAACATCTCAAACCTGACCTCGAGTCGCAGTTTCGTTGCAACCACTGTGAAGGCTGTCATTGTAAGACCTCTCAGCATGCATACGCATGTGT